AGTCTCATTTTAGTCCGGTTCGGTTCATGTTTAAGTGTTCAGCCCGGTTTATAATTTTAAGGACATTTTCAGTTAAATTTCCAGGATTATTTCAGTTCAGTAAATTCATGTCCAATCAGTTCGAGTTAAGTCAATTCCGGTTATTCCGGATAAGTCTAAATATCATGTTAAGTTAAATAGAGCATCTTAACGAAAATTATCAGTTAAGTTAACAGTCTGAGCATAGTCATTAATAATTGTTTATATTATTTTCAGTTTGATCAGGCATCAGCACTACCGATCAGTTTCAGCAGTTCAGGTGGGGACTCAGACTACGTACCACATTGATTATAATTACAGTACCATGTTTGAGGTATGTATTTCAGTTGAGGCATCCGCTCGGAATGGTCGCCGGTCCATTCTGGGTTCTAGTGGCCCTAGTCTGCCCACTAGAGTGTGCACATGGTGTCCGGCTCTGCCGGCAGATGAGGTAATGGTCAGGGTCACGTTTGCGTGACGATTTCAGGGTCACGGTTGCGTGACGATTTTAGATTCATGTTTATTACCGGCTTGAGGTTGAGGTTATGTATATACTGATATCATGATATTGTTATTATTTTCGATGTTTTACATTAGTATGAGTTTCCACGGAGCACAGTGCCATAGTGCTCACTCCCCAGTTTTATCATATTTTTCAGGTCCGGACGTCGGGCCGGGAGCATGAGCGTGACGTGACGGAGGCTTCAGGACATTTGTGTTTTTTACTGTATATTTATGATGATGACTTACGCTTCCGCTAATGATGTTTTGATTATTTGTGACGATGTTTTCGATGACTTTTGACGTACTCATATTTTGACGAACTTATCTTTTGATGAACTTTTGGGAAACTTATGCTTTCAGTAACCGGACAATTTTATTAAAATTAAACTAACGGTTTTCCAAATTAAGTCACGATTTTAAGGTAGCACCCCGAATCAGTTTTCGCAAAGTAAAAAGGATTCATTTTTAAATAACTTTGTGAATTTTTGCGCACTCTGAATTACGATACGGAGGGGTGTTACAATTGGTATCAGAGCACGTTTCTGCGTCTCTGAAAAAGATTTTCAGTCAGTAATTTTTTAGAAAAACCTGAACCGTCATGCTCACGCCCCGCCGACGACAGGTAAGTGCTGATTCAGTTTTTCAGTTATAAACATATTACTTTGTCTATGCTCAGAATTAAGGATCAGGACTTTAGTTAAGATGCTCGAATCAGGTTCAGACTTTAGAGTTCGGACATGACTCTAGAATTCAAGCATTCAGATATGACTTTAGACATTAGGATCTTCCTATATGACTCTAGAGTTCTTCAGGTTTCATGTCAGTATTTATCGGCCACTTTTAGCTACTTGTCAAGAGATTTGTGTGCCTTAGTAATCAGTCAGTAATGTTATCATGTATTCAGTAATGTTAATTTTTCTTAATGTTCAGATGCCGCCACGTAGGGAACCCGGTCATCAGGCTCCTACTCAGGCTACGGTAGTCGCTCAGTTCCGCGACTATCATGCCGAAAAGTTCTCAGGGCAGGGAGATCCCCGCATCGTTGATGAATGGATTCAGGGGTTGGAATTTATCTTTGAGGTTATGGAATGCCCCGATAGGTATCGCGTAGTTTGCGCTCAGCTTCAGCTCACTGGTAATGCAAGGCTCTGGTGGAATGCCTACTGGAGCATGCGTCCCGGTGAAAAGGCGGGTTGTACATGGGACATGTTCAAGGAGCTAGTCCGCGATAAGTACTACCCTTCCTACTATCGGGCAGAGATGGAACGCCAGTTCTTAGCGCTTCAGCAGGGCACTCGTACGGTTGATGAGTACGAGCGAGAGTTCACTAGACTTGCAGCTTTCGCACCGGATCTTGTTCGCACGGAGGCCCAGAGAGCGCAGCGGTTCATTGACGGACTTTACCCAGCAGTTCGTCACAATATCGTTGGACACGGGACTCAGACCTACGCTCGTGCCGTTTCTATCGCACAGGAGGTGGACGCTAGCATCAGGAGGGAGGCAGTTCGTGATCGTGCTCAGCCATCTGCCCCAGCTCAGCCATTTGCAGCTCCACCAGCTCTACCAGCCCCACAGCCAGCAAAGGAGAAGAAGAGGAAGGGGAAGGGTGCACAGACTGACCGGAGGACTCGACAGAGACAGCAGCCGATTCCACCGTGCCCGACTTGTGGTCGACTTCATCGAGGAGAGTGCCATGTGGGATAGGACATCTGCTACTACTGCCACGAGCCTGGACACTTTGCGAGTCGCTGTCCGAAGAGACTCCAGCAGCAGCCTCAGCAGCCTCAGCAGCCACCACAGCAGCAACAGCCACGTCAGCAGGCACAGAGGCCGCCTCAGCAGCAGCAGCAGAGGGGCAGACAACAGGCCAGGGTTTACGCAGTTGATCAGGCCGAGGCAGCACAGCAGCCAGGTACCATGTCAGGGATGGTTGTTCTCAATAATATTCCTGTGTTTGCTTTATTCGATACTGGAGCGACACATACATTCATTTCACGACGATGTCTCGATGTCATCGGAGTTCACGCCGTTACCGCTGTCGATCCTCTCGAGGTGAGTTCAGCCTCGGGACGAAAGATAGTGACCTCAGCTAAAGCCTCAGATCTTAGCCTTTCCATCGGTGGCCGTGTATTGACTGCCGACGCGTTTGTTCTCGAGATGAAGGACTTCGACCTTATTCTCGGGATGGATTGGCTATCCTTCTATCATGCAGACATCAGGTGTCATGACCGGGAGATCACTCTCTATCTCCCGGGAGACGAGTCGATTACTTTCTTCGGCTCCTGGAATCGTTCACTGCCTCATGTTATTTCGATGGCGAAAGCCACTAAGTTATTGCGACGAGGCAACTGCCAGGGTTATCTGGTGAGCCTTGTCAACGATTCTCAGAAAGCGCGAACACCTCATGATGTTCCAATCGTCCGCGAGTTTGTGGACGTATTCCCATACGAGCTTCCAGGAGGACCGCCCAACCGTCAGTTGGAGTTTTCTATCGATCTTATCCCAGGGGCCGGTCCAGTATCCAAAGCCCCATATCGCATGGCGCCTAAGGAGTTGCAGGAGCTTAAGACTCAGATTCAGGAGTTGTTACGACTCGGTTTCATCCGACCGAGCGTGTCACCTTGGGGAGCACCCATTCTCTTTGTCAAGAAGAAGGACAGATCTATGCGCATGTGTATCGACTACCGGGATCTTAACCGGTTGACGATCAAGAATAAGTATCCGCTTTCCAGGATCGACGACTTGTTTGATCAGCTGAGGGGAGCCTGTGTGTTCTCGAAGATTGATTTGCGATCAGGCTACCACCAGCTGAAGATCAAGGAGTTAAATATCGCTAAGACCGCTTTCAGGACTCGTTACGGCCATTACGAGTTCGTCGTCATGCCTTTCAGTCTCAGCAATGCGCCAACTGTTTTCATGGACCTCATGAACCGTATTTTCCATCCCTACCTCGATCAGTTCGTTATTGTCTTTATTGACGATATTCTTATCTACTCGAAGAGCCAGAAGGAGCACGAGGAGCATCTGAGGGTGGTTCTCGAAACCCTCAGACGAGAAAAGTTGTACGCCAAATTCTCCAAATGCGAGTTCTGGCTTCAGCGAGTATCCTTTTTGGGTCATGTGATTACTCAGGCAGGTATCGAGGTGGATCCTTCTAAGGTTTCAGCCATTCAGAACTGGTCGACACCGAGGAGTCCGTCCGAGGTTCGCAGTTTTCTCGGTTTAGCTGGTTATTATCGCAGGTTCATCGAGGGCTTCTCCAAGATCGCCCTACCTCTTTCCCAGCTGACGAGGAAGTCTGTGAAGTTCGAGTGGACTGATCGTTGTGAGGCGAGCTTTCAGGAGCTCAAAAGGAGGTTAACTTCAGCACCGGTGTTGACTATTCCCGATCCTTCTCGGAGTTTCACTATCTTCAGCGATGCTTCGAGACAGGGCTTGGGATGTGTCCTTATGCAGGACGGCCAGGTCGTCGCGTATGCTTCACGTCAGCTTAAGCCTCATGAGCAGAACTATCCGACGCACGACTTGGAGTTTGCAGCAGTCGTTCATGCTCTCAAGATCTGGCGACACTATCTTTACGGCGGACGTTGCGAGATTTTCACAGACCATAAGAGCCTACAGTACATTTTCACGCAGAAGGAGCTCAATATGAGGCAGCGCCGTTGGCTCGAACTTGTCAAGGATTACGACTGCTCTATTCAGTAACATCCGGGAAAGGCGAACGTCGTCGCGGATGCCCTAAGCCGAAAGGTGAAGGGTGTCTTGACGTACGTTATTACGCAGCAGAGTCCGTTGATTCATGAGTTTGCCCGGATGCAGCTTCAGGCGATCGATGCACTTCCCATAGCTGTTTCGGGGAGTACCAGTGCCAGTATCAGTGCTATGCAGCTTCAGCCGACGCTGAGAGAAAGAATCTGGCGAGAGCAGGCTTCTGACGAGTTTGTTCGTGTCATAGAGGCCAAGGTTCGCGCCGGAGGCGTCCTGGATTTTCAGCTAGGTGTCGATGGTGCCTTAGAGTTCAGAGGCAGGATCGTGGTCCCGAAGGTCGAGGCTTTGCGGAAGGAGATTCTATCAGAAGCACATACCGCACCCTATCTGGCCCATCCCGGAAGTACGAAGATGTATCATGACCTGAAAGGGTCGTTCTGGTGGCGAGGCATGAAGAAGGACGTCGCCGAGTTTGTGAGGAGGTGTCTTACCTATCAGCAAGTCAAAGCCGAACATCAGAGTCCGATCGGCCTCCTGCAGCCACTGCCGATTCCGAGGTGGAAGTGGGAGGAAGTCACGATGGATTTCGTTACGGGATTGCCGAGGTCGTCTGAACATCACGATGCTATTTGGGTCGTGGTCGACAGATTGACTAAGGTCGCTCATTTCTTACCCGTTTCGATGAAGATGTCTCTGGACAAGTTGACTGAGATATATACCCGTGGGATCATCCGACTCCACGGAGTGCCCGTTACGATTGTATCAGACAGAGATCCCAGATTCGTCAGTCGATTCTGGCACAGTTTACATGAGGCGATGGGCACGAAGCTAGAGTTCAGTTCAACCTACCATCCGGAGACAGATGGTCAGTCAGAGAGGACCATTCAGACACTTGAGGATATGCTTCGCGCTTTGGTACTTGACAGGGGTGCTAAGTGGGAGTCATTGTTGCCATTCGCAGAGTTCGCGTATAACAACAGCTATCATTCTTCTATTCAGATGGCTCCTTACGAGGCACTTTATGGTCGCAAGTGTCGTTCCCCTCTTTATTGGGACGACGTTGGAGAGCGGCGAGTACTCGGTCCTAAGATGATTGAGGAGACAGCGGAGCAGGTCGAGTTGATCCGGCAGAGACTCAGGACAGCTCAGAGTCGACAGAAATCTTCCGCCGATCATCATCGACGAGACATTCAGTTCGAGGTTGGCGAGCCAGCCTTTCTCAGAATTCGTCCGATTCGCGGAGTTGTGCGATTCGGAAAGAGAGTGAAGCTGCACCCTCGTTTCATCGGTCCGTTCGAGTTTCTCAAACGAGTAGGCGAGGTCGCGTATCGTCTAGCCCTACCTCCCGAGTTATCAGGCATTCATAATGTATTTCATGCATCGATGTTACGTAAGTACGTGTGCGACCCCGATCATGTCATCCCTCATACGGATATTCAGGTTCTGCCAGATCTATCGTACGAGGAGCGACCGGTAGCTGTACTAGACCGTCAGGTTCTTCGGCTCCGGAAGCGAGATATTCCCCTCGTGCGTATTCAGTGGGATCGCCACGGAGCTACTTGGGAGGAGGAATCTGATATTCGTGCTCGTTTTCCATATTTTCAGTTTTGATGTACATATTTTTTTTTATCCTATGTACATACTTCATGTATTCTCAGTTATGTTTTGAATTTCTGAGGACGGAAATTTTGTAAGGAGGGAGGATTGTAATATCCCGATATTTTATCGGTATAAATTATGTTTTAATTCCGATATAATAATGTTATCATTTATTATTTTCGGAATTAATTATGTTCAGTCGAGATTACTGAAATTTATTTTCGGCGTACCGTTTACGTTCGGAATAATTTTGGTAATAAGTATTATGTTTAATTAAATAATTAAACATAAATAAGTGGTTAATTATAATTAATCACGTCTCTAGGGCATAAGCCGTGGGAGATATAGCTTAATGGCTCAATAATTTGTATAAGGCCGTATGATATATATTTATGTTCAAAAATTTTCCTAAGGTTCCTAAGTCCTAAGGAAGTACATTTCCCCCTCATTTTGCAAGGCTACGTGGCCAATTAAGGGGGCAGCTTAGTCATCCCACATCTTGTCCTTGGAGTAGCAAGTGTCTTGAGCCTATGAAGCCACGCATCACCAACATCATCACCACCCTCTCGTCACTTATTATATAAACGTAGGCTTGGGGTGAATTTTCCCCCAATTTTCCCTATAAGACATACTCATAATTTTCCCTCCACATATATATACGTTCAGCAAGCTTTAAGCAAGTCACCATCATTCCTCAAGCTTAGTTCTCTCACGGCAAATCGGAGTACCGCACGGCACACGCAAGGACAAGGAAGCACGTTCCATTTTTCAATTTCGGTCGAGCGATTGTCAAGGTATCTTCCTCCTCATGTTAAAATCATGTTAGTAAGGTTATTTCAAGGGTAATTGTTCGGAGGATTTTCAGAAATTCTTAAGAAAATTCATGTTGAACTCGGTTAGCACTTGATAGTTCTATACCGAGTTAAGTTCAATTTGTTTCAGCAAGTCATGACCAATTCTGGTTCTTTCAGCTTTTATTTAAAGTATAATGTTCAGCTGAGAAAGATCGGTCGATAAAAGTTGGCTTTATGTTCATGTTATGGCTCAAGAAGGCGGGCTGCGCACCTAGCGCGCACCCGCGGGCCATGAAGGGCTTGATGGCCTTATCTTTCGTTATGGTCCAGATAGTCCGAACAATTTGTGTTTAAAAG